CAGATGAAAAATTCTGAAGTGATTTTTAAATACTAGCAGAACCTATTATTTTACTTACTTTGCATTCCTACAATGTGGATATTGATCATTGGTTTACACTGAACATGAAATGACCAGGTTGTGGTTGTAGTTGTAGTGATGGTTACAAAGAAGGGGTCATGCAGAGAAGGAGATAGGTTTCTTTATTGTACAATCACTTACAGGAGTTCTACATTGGAGGATGAATCATTGAGATGGCAACATTACAAAGCTAACTACAAGGCTGATAATCCACAAGTATGGAACACCAGCAGGTTTTTGAAAATGTACTCTTGGGATATGGGTGACATTAGCAAGGCCCATTCTGAGCGGCTGTCCTGTGGATTTGAGCTTCCCTTTGAGTGGCTGAACATTGTCTGGTCTTGGGACTTGCACTGGAGTTAAGATCTTTAAAGGGGTTAAACATGGGGAATTATTTTAAACTGTCGCTCTTCAGCAACTACACGGCACCATCCCTCACTTCTTTCTCTGCTATATTGATGATTGTATCGGTGTTGTCTCGTGCTCCCGCGAGGAGTTTGAGCAGTTCATCAACTTCGCCAACACCTTCCACCCCACCTTCAAATTTGACTGGACTATATTTCTGACACCTCCCTCCCCTTCCTGGACCTCTTCATCTCCATCTCCGGAAACCGATTCACCACTGACATCCGTTTCAAACCCAGTGACTCCCACAAATAACTCAACTACACCTCCTGTCACTCAAACTCCTGCAAAAAATGCTATCACATACTCCCAATTCCTCCGCCTCCGTTGCATCTACTCCCAGGATGAGGCATTTTACTCCAGGCCATCCCAGATATCCTTCTACTTTAGGGACCATAATTACCCCTTCTCTGTAATTAAGCATATCCTCAATCACATCTCCCTCATTTCCTGCACTTGTGCCGTCAAACCCCCTCCTCCCAACAAGAATAAGGATAGAGTCCCCCTGGTCCTCACGTACCATCCCACCAACCTGAACGCAACGCATCATCCTCTGACATTTCCACCACCTACAATCAGACCCCACCATCAAAAAGATATTTCCCTTCCCACACCAGTCCGCTTTCCGCAGGGACCGTTCATTCCGTTACTCCCTCGTCAGCTTTACAGGCCCTACCAATTTCTCCGCCACACCCAGTACCTTTCCTTGCAACTGCAAGAGGTGCAACACCTGCCCCTACAGCTCCCCTCTCACCTCTGTCCAAGTTCCCAAACAATCCTTCCCGATCTGGCAGAGATTCACCTGCACTTCATCCGGCCTGATCTATCGTATCCGTTGCTTCCAATGTGGTCTCCTCTATATCAGGGAGACCAAACAGACTCGGGGACCAGTTCGTGAGACCTTCTCAGACTTTCCAGTCACTATCCATTTTAATTCCCCCTTCCAGTCCCCTGACAACATGTCCATCCTTGGTCTCCTCCACTGTCAGAGCGAGGCCAGATGCAAACTGAAGGAACAACACTTGATATTTTGCCTTGGGAGCTTACAGCCCAATGGCCTCAATATCGACTTCATCAGTTTCAAAAATCGGTCCACCCCCAGCCTTGTCCCATGTCCAACCCTCCCCCTCCTACTCACTTCCCTGACCTGTCCATCTTCCTCCTCACCTATCTGCTTCACCCTTCCCACAGATCAATCACAATAACCCCCTACCTGCATATCTCCTACCCTTCCCCAAGCCCCCCGTGCTCTCCATCTTTATTTCTAGGCTCCCCTCCCCCTTCCCAGTCCTGACGAAGGTTTCAGCCCGAAATGTTGACTTCCTTGCTTCTCTGCTGTCTGACCTGATGTGCTTTTCCAGCCTCACACCCTTAGACACTATTTTAAACTGTACTTTTATACTTGGGGCTCTGACATTAGCTTCACAAGACTGCAGCACTGACACTCTAGGATCCTGAACCAAACAGCAGAATCACTGACTCATAAAGGGGCATCCACTGCTATGAACAGCCTTTTGTACCATTCTGTTCATTTTAGTCCATTAAACATGTAGAGATTCAGAAAGCAATGCTATTGAAGATAAAATATGGATGTCAGAAATGAGAGATCCAAAGCATATTTAAAACCAGTAGTCAGGGAAAGAGGAGGAGATGACCTGCAGGTTTTCTCATGGATGGATGAACAGAAGATTTGGCTTGATCCAACAGTATTAACTTGTGATCTTGTGATGTTATGGATAGGCCCAAGATAAGATTACAGTTTAAGTTACTCGCAGACCTTGGGTTTTTAAATATACGGAGAGGTTCATTGCAGTATAGTAACTATGGCGCAGTTTGTTTATCTATGGATGGCCACATTGTAGAATGAACTATGGTTTGGTTTAATTAAGTGAATGTAAATCAAGCAGAAGTGATCTCACTAAAATCTTATAATAGGTGTGCGAGATTTGTATACATATGCGAATCCAAACTCAGCTGGCTCTCTGCAGACAGCACGGTGAGCATTATAACCTGGGGGTCAAAGTTATACTGATGGCTGCAGATCTGTCACTGGTAATGTGTAGCAATGAGTGTTATGGCATCTTACAGACACCAAACTAGATGTTCTTGCATGCATCACTATCAACATGTTGGACAGGCCCAATAATGTTACTAAAAATGTTATTCGCACAGAATTTTACTGCTATACAATGACATACTTCTCAGAGGCCTGGCTAACATCCGGCAATAACCACACTGGGGACACAGTTTAGACCCATCCAATTGTACCAATGTCATTAGTGACCCCATTAGCAACAGATCCCAGGCCAGAACCTAGGGAGGTCCTCGGTTAAAATGGAAACTCACCGTAATAGTTTCCATCTTCCAGTCAGAAGGTATATAGGGGAAGGGAATGAAGAGTCACAATACAGCACAGAATAGCATTCTGGTCATCCTGCCTATACCAGTTCAAAGGAGCTAGCCAACGAACAGTACTCCCCAGGTCTTTCCCCAGAGCCCTTCAAATTTCTCCATTTTCAAAGATATAGCAATTCCTTTTCAAGCAGTAGCGCAGTTTTGTCAAAAGTCAGACTTTAGAAAAAGCCTGACTACCATCCAGTTCCTTGAAATCTATGATTATGCTTTAGGGATACAATGGTAATTCACAAATACACTACCACATTGAAACATTCTGAAGAAGCAATCTGTTAAGAGTTGCAAGTGCTTGTACAGTACACAAAACTGTCATAGGTAAAGCAGCAATCAAAAACATTCATTCATTAAGCAAGTTTTTAATAGCAAAATTTATCTAAATGGTACACAGTAAACTTTCCCTCTCACCAAAAACTATTTTGCTCCTCTACACTGAGTAGATGAACCCATAACCATCACTCCCATTAAAAGATATTCACATGGACCTCAATCCAAACTCAGCAACTAAACAAATCTTGTTTCACACTTGCAGAAATAATCAACAGGAAAATGCATCAAAATTTACACACTTTGAACATGAAAAATGGCAAAGGCACTTTACACAAGGGAACAAACAGCAAATATAAAAGTTTGATAACCTTTCAAGATATTTTATGTCTTCCACTTCTCCAACCAGGACAGTGTCAGACCACAGATTAAAAACCTTCAGCAGCAACTTGTATTTATAGAGTGCTGTAAACATTGTAAAACATTGCAAGCTGCTGCACAGGAGTGAAGCAACAAAATCTAATACCAAACCAAGGCAATCTTGGGGCAGGTGATCAAAAGCTTGATCCAAGTAGTATTTTTTTCCAGGAGTGTTTTAAAGGAGTAAAAGAGAAGTTTGTGGTGAGGAAATTTCAGAACTTAGGGCCTGGCAATGAAGGAATGTGGACAGAACTAATAACAAGGCCAAAATTAGAGGAGCACAGATTACAGAGGATTGAAAGGCTGAAAAAGATTACAAAGATAGCAAGGGTTGAGACCATTGAGTAGATCTGCAAACATGATAGAGAATTCCAGAAATGTAATTTGGAGCCAGTTTAGGTCAGCAAAGGTGACCCAGGAACAGGATCTCATCAGAATCATGGGTTACAGAGTTTTGGATGATGAGCCAGCCAGGAGTGCATCAAGTACAATATGCTACACAGTATCCCACATCTTTTACAGCAACAGGCTTAGGCCATTCAGCCCCTCATATATACTTCTAGCACGCATACCACCCCCCACCCCAGCCACTTATTCAGCACCATCCAGGAAACCTTCAAATGACAAAAAAAAACAGGGGGACCCCCCAAGAACGTCTTTGATACAAACACACTGCAACCTCAAGTCTTCTGGCAAAACAGGACGGACTCCAGCATAAAGTCACATTTGTCAGGCGGCCTTCAAATCCATTACATACAAACAAATACACATCAAACAAAACAAAAAGCCACAGCATCTACATCCAGTTTCAAATTTAAATAAACAGTATCACAACTTTTCCTCGAACAGTGGGAATCGCGTTAAAGCGGACAGCCACCACAGCTCCCCACACACACCCCTCTCCTGCTGTGATTTATCTTTTCTGGCCGGGGATCCGACTCCCCCTCAGTCCCTCACTCAGAGTCGGGGAGGAGGAGGAGGAGGAGGAGGGCCTGGCCTGGGCGGATAGCCCCAGGTAACAGTGGGGAGATGGCGGGGGGGAGAAACAGTCTTGAGTCTGACAGCCGCCCACATCCACAGGCAGTTCCAGGTAGGGGTGAGGTGATCCGGGTCCGCCCCCAGCCCGGCAGTCTGCGGTGGAGGAGGAGGCCGCCCTGTGCGGACCCGGGATCCGCCGGTCCCCGGGCCCCGAGCTCCGGCCCCGGCCTGTCAGTCAGTGTCGGATCCTCGGCCCTCATCAGGCAGATTCCGTGTCGCGCCCCCCCCCCCCACCTCCCGCCGGGCAGAGACTCGACCTGGGCTCCCGGAGCTGGGCTGGGTGGGGGTCGTTAGGCGAGGAGGCTGCTGGCTGTCGGCTGTCAGGGTGTCCCGACCCTCGGGGTCTGTCCCCCTCCCGGATTTCCTTCCACCTCCCACCCGCCCCCGGCCGGACTCACTCTCATCCGGTAGCTCCTCCACCTCCGCCATCTTGAATCGGCCGCGCCGCTTTTCAAAGGGAGCCGCGCGGCATTCTGGGTGATGCAGGGCGGCAGAAACAAACCTTCGCGAAGAGCCGCCGGCAAAGCCGCCGGAGCGTGCGTGGCGCCGCGGGATCGCCCCCTGGGTTGGCAAGCTGGGAGCGGGCTGGCAAGGCGACCAAAGGCGTGGGTTCGAGTCCTAGCTTCCCCCACCACCCCCAAATCAACTCCCACTTCATCAAAATCTGCAGTAGGGGGTAGTAACTTCATCCAGCTCTACACCTTGTTATCCCTGGTGATTAGGACAGGGCAGCCTAACATTAAGGGGGAACAAAGGAGTGAACACAAGCACAAAGCCTCTGTTCGCTTGAACATAACCAAGACAGTGCCTCCTGCTGGATTCTCTTTGATCATTTCCCTAACCCCAATATATCGTGCTCAAGGTGACCCATACAATCAGTAAGGCGTCAACTTATTAAGGGCTAACTTTTATATAGCACCGAGAAAGGCCCTTCAGCCCATTGTGTTATGTAATCAACTCATCCCATTTTCCAGCACTTGGCCTGTAGCCTTGTTTGCTATGGTGTTTCAAGCGTTCATCTAAACAGTCCTCAGATTCTGGGGGGGCTGTTCCCACCTTCACATACTTTTAGGCAGTGATAGCCTCTGGGTAGAATACGTTTTCCTCAAATCCCCCCTAAACCTCGTGCTGCTCACCTTAATACTGAGGCCCCTGGTTATTGATCCTTGTACTAAGACAAAAAGTTTCTCCCTCTCTACTGTCCATGTCCCTCAAAACTTTGTAGACCCCAGTCCCACAACCCCACCTCCAACCCCCAACATTCTCTGCTGAAAAGAAAACCCCAGCCTACAAAAACAGAAATTGCTCAGAAACATCTGTGGACGGAACTGTGCAGTTCCAAAGAGGGGTCACTGGTCTTGAAACATTAACTGTGATTTTTTTCCACAGATGCTGCCAGACCTCATAAACCATAGATCAAAGAATCCCTACAGTGTGGAAACAGGCCCTTTCGCCCAACAAGTCCACACTGACCCTCACAGCACCCACCCAAACCCATTCACCTATAATCCACCTAATCTATACATCCCTGAACACTACAGGCAATTTAGCATGGCCAATCCATCTAGCCTACACATCTTTGGACTGTGGGAGGAAACCCACACAGACACAGGGAGAATGTGCAAACTCCACACAGTCACCCAAGGGTGGAATTGAACCCAGGTCCCTAGTGCTGTGAGGCTGCAGTGCTAGCCACTGTGTCACCCCAAAACCTACAAAAATCCAAGTACCTACTGAGCTTTTCCAGCAATTTCTGTTTTGAATACATTGTCAAAACCCCAGCTTATCTATTCTCTCTTCATAGCTGAATTCTAGCTCAGGCAACATCCTGGTGAATCTCCTCTGCAGCCCCTCTGATGCAATCACATCCTTGCTATAGTTTGGTGACCAGAGCTGCATGCTATACTCCAGCTGTGGCCTAACTAACATAATATACAGCTCCAATATAACCTCCCTTGCTCTTCTATTCCAATATCTTGACTAACAGAAGTAAATATCCTACATGAGAGATAGTAGGAACTGCAGATGCTGGAGAATCCGAGACAACAAGGTGCAGGGCTGGATGAACACAGCAGGCCAAGCAGCATCATAGGAGCAGAGAGGCTGACGTTTCGGGCCTAGACCCTTCATCAGAAAAGGGGGAGGGGAAGGGGGTTTTGAAATAAATAGGGAGAGAGTGGGAGGCGGATAGAAGAGGGATAGAGGAGAGGATAGGTGGAGAGGAAACAAACAGGTCGAAGAGGCGGGGATGGGGCCAGGAAAGGTGAGTGTAGGTAGGGAGTTAGGAAGGGGATAGGTCAGTCCAGGGAGGACGGACAGGTCAAGGGGGCGGGATGAGGTTGGTCGGTAGGAGATGGAGGTGCGGCTTGAGGTGGGAGGAGGGGATAGGTGGGAGGAAGAACAGGTTAGGGAGGCAGGGACGAGCTGGACTGGTTTTGGGATGCGGTGGGGGGAGGGGAGATTTTGAAACTTGTGAAATCCACATTGATACCATTGGGCTGCAGGGTTCCCAAGCGGAATATGAGTTGCTGTTCCTGCAACCTTCGGGTGGCATCGTTGTGGCACTGCAGGAGGCCCAGGATGGACATGTCGTCTGAGGAATGGGAGGGGGAGTTGAAATGGTTCGCGACTGGGAGGTGCAGTTGTTTGTTGCGAACCGAGCGTAGGTGTTCTGCAAAGCGGTCCCCGAGTCTCCGCTTGGTTTCCCCGATGTAGAGGAAGCCACACCGGGTACAGCGGATGCAGTATACCACATTGGCAGATGTGCAGGTGAACATCTGCTTGATGTGGAAAGTCTTCTTGGGGCCTGGGATGGGGGTGAGGGAGGAGGTATGGGGGCAGGTGTAGCACTTCCTGCGGTTGCAGGGAAAAGTGCCGGGTGTGGTGGAGCTGGAGGGGAGTGTGCATGCCTTCTTAACCACCTTATCCACCTGTCCTGAGTCAATGAACAAATGATAGCCAGGAAAACACAGAGTTTAACCTTCCACATTAAATAGATGTTCACCTGCACATCCGTTAATGTGGTATATTGTATCCCAAGTGGCCTCCTCTACATCGGGGAGACCAAGAGAGGCTCGGAGACCGCTTTGTGGAGCACCTATGCTCAGTTTGCGACAAACAACACCTCCCAGTCGCGAACCAGTTCAACTCCCCCTCCCACTCCCTGGACAACATGTCCATCCTGGGCCTCCTCCAGTGTCACAATGATGCCATCCAGAAACTGGAGGAACAGCACCTCATATTCCGCTTTGGAATCCTACATCCCAATGGTCTCAGTGGACTTTACTAACTTCAAAATCTCCTCACCCTCGACCTCATCCCAAGATCAGCACCCCCCCTCATCGACCTGTCCGTCTTCTCTTCCACCTATCTGCTCCTCCCGCCTCACTGACCAATCCCCACCCCCACTTTCTACCTACACTCACCTTTACTAGCTTCATCCCCGTCTCCTTGACCTGTCCGTCTTCTCTCCCACCTGTCCACTCCACTATCCACCTTCTATCACCGCTCCCCCCCCACTATTTATTTCGTAGCCCCCTTCCCCTCCCCCATTTCTGAAGAAGGGTCCAGACCCAAAATGTCAGCTTTCCTGCTCCTCTGATGCTGCCTGGCCTGCTGTGTTCCTCCAGCTCGACACCTTTTTGTCCATGACTCTAGCATCTGCAGTTCCTACTATCCCTCACAGAGGACTTCCCTATCCTTCCAAAGAGCGCTGCAGGATCCTGTAAATTCATTTCAGGGACAGATACCTCGTTTAACATGTCTGTCTGAAAGTTGTGCATCATTTGCCCATTAAACAAGGCTGGATTCTGTACTAAGATAACAAGGTGTAGAGCTGGATGAACACAGTAGGCCAGGCAGCATCAAAGGAGCAGGAAAGCTGATGTTTTGGGTCTGGACCATTCTTCAAATAAAAAGAGGATGCTGCCTGGCCTGCTGGGTTCATCCAGTTCTACACCTTGTTATCTCAGACTCAAGCATCAGCAGTTCCCACTATCTCTGGATTCTGTACTACAGTTTGGATACTGAAGCACAAGACTGCATGTGCAAGAGATCAGTACTTAGAACCATGGAACAATCAAGAATGCACCTTTCACAGTTTGTAGTCACCAAAATGTGCCAACAGTGTTGAGTATGCCTAAGAAAAATACATCTATAAGGAAGAGAATATGCCAACTGATTTGATTTATTGTAGTTACATGTACCTAAGTACAGTGAAAAGCTTTGTTTTGCGAGCAGTACAGGCTGATCGTAGCAAACCAGGACATACAGATCATACAGTGCTTAGACACAGCAAGGCATACAAGGTTACAGCTGCACAGGAGGTGCATAAAGCAAGATCAACATTAGTTGATGTTAGAGTTCATTCAGCAGTCTAATAACGGCAGGGAAGAAGCTGTTCTTGAACCTGTTGGTGCATGTGGTCAAGCTTCTGTGCCTTCTGCCTGATGGAAGAGAGCATTACCAGGGTGGGTGGGGTCTTTGATGCTGTTGGCAGCCTTTCCGTGGCAATGAGAAGTGTAAATGGAGTCTTTGGATGGGAGGTTGGCTTCTGCGATAGTCTGGTCTGGTCTGTGCACCTCCTGTGGTTTCTTACAGTCCTAGGCACAGTAAGTTGCCATACCGGGCCATAATACACCTGGATAGTAAGCTTTCTATGGTGCATCTGTAAAAGTTGGTGAGGGACCCTATGGATGTGCCAAATTCCTCAGCCGCCTGAGGAAGAAGAAGCAGCAGCATTGTTGTACCTTCTTGACCATCTCCTCTACATGGGAGGTCCAGGACAGGTTGTTGGTTATCATCACTCCTAAGAATTTGAACCTTTCAACCCGATCCATTGATGGATAGGGGTGTGTCCTCCTCCTTTCTTCCTGAAGTCAATGATCAATTCTTTTGTTTTCCCAACATTGAGAAAGAGGTTGTTATCATTGCACCAAGCCCTCTATCTCCTTTCTGTATTCTGACTCATTGTTGTTAGATATCCGTCCTACCATGGCAGCGTCATCAGCAAACTTGTAAATGGCATTCGGAATTTGGCAACACAGTCTTGGGTGCATAAGGAGTACAGCAAAGGGCTGAGAATGCATCCTTGCAGGGCACCAGTGTTGAGGATTATCATGAAGGAATTGCTGGCATCTACCTTCACTGATTGCAGTCTGTGGGTCAGGAAGCTTAGGATCCAGTTGTAGAGGGCAGAGCTGAGACCAAGGTCTCAGAGTTTTGACATCGGTCTGGAAGGTATAATGGTGTTGAAGGCGGAGCTATAGTCAATGAGTAGGAGCCCAACGTAGGTGTCCTTGTTTATCCAATTGTTCCAGGGATGAGTGCAGGGCTAGGGAAATGGTGTTCACTGTGAACCTGTTTCACCAGTAGGTGAATTGCAGGGGAAAAATCGAGGCAGGCTGAGGCTAGAGTTGATGTGGGCCTTGACCAGTCTGTTGAAGCACTTTAATGATTATGAAGGTCAGAGCCACTGGGTGGCAGAATTTCAGAGAATCCCTACAATGTGGAAGCAGGCCATTCAGCTTATCAAGTTTACACCAACCCTCTGAATAGCATCCTTCTGATGGCCATTCCACCTAACCCGCACATCTGTGGACCACGGGAGGTTAACTGGAGCACCTGGAAGAAACGCACGCAGACACAGGGAGAACGTGCAAACTCCACACAGCCAGTCGCCCGAGACTGGAATCTAACCTGGGTCCCTGTACAGCAGACCATGGAGCTGCCAACTCAACTCCTTCTGTGCCTGTGCTGATAGCAGGCATCAAACGCATAAGATACCAAATAAAAAGTCTTGAAAAGTGAGCGAAACAAAGGGGCAAAAATGCTCGGAGGTAAATGGAAAATGAAATTAAGAAAAACACATCAAACTGAACAGGTAAATAACTGCAAGTGATCCTCACACTTGGACAGTGAAGATCTAATTAACTTATCATGGAACATGAGCGGGCTGCTGCGTTCTCCCCTGTATTAATAACATTGACCTCCCGGGCCAAATGGTGAGCTTAGGACTTTGCATGTCTTAGAGGCACTAATTAAGCATCTCCCTGGGTCAGTTTGCCCTGGGCCATCATTTGTTTGGTCTAATGAGTAAACTTCATGAACGAGAATCACAATTCCAAACATCACTTGAGAAACCTCCAATGGTTATGCTCATCTCTCACTCCCCTAATGATCAAAATTAATGAATGATCAATCCAAATGGTTTCTACTTTGTCACAAGCCGCAACTCTTGGCTTGTATCACCAACTGCTCTTAGAGCTTGTGGGGCACAGCGAATTCTCCAATCTCTGGACTGACTGGCAAACTGTTGTTTCAGAATCTCAGGCCGTTTCAGACTTCTTTACAGTAGATGAATTCATTTTTGAGGCGAATATTGCAGGAAAGACACCAGAAAATGTGCGCACAACACTTTTAGAGTTTAAGACTGCAATGGGAGGACAGCCCCTCCTGCTGCCCAGCACTCCCCTCGTACCACAGTGGGTGTGTCAGCCTGCATTATGGGCTCAAATCCTGCTACACTTGAACCTTTTGCCTTGGGCAAGAGTGCTACCTATTGAAGGGCAATAAATTCCAGCCTTACCTGCTATAAAAACCACACTTCATTCTAACAAAGAACCACAAAGGCACAACTAATTGCACAACTGGGTAGTATGGTGGCTCAGTGGTTAGCACTGCTATCTCATAACACCAGGGACCCAGGTAATATTCCACCTTCAGGCGACTGTGTAGAGTTTGCATATTCTCCCCGTGTCTGCGTGGGTTTCCTCCCATAGTCCAAAGATGTGCAGGTTAGGTGGATTGGCCATGCTAAATTGCCCATAGTGTCCAGCAATGCGTAGGCTAGGTGGGTTAGCCATGGGAATTGCACGGGTAAGGGAATGGGATGAGTCTGGGTGGGATGCTCTGTGGAGGGTTGCTCCCACACTGTAGGGATTCTAATTATTCTCACATCATAATAAATACAGACACAAGGGGTTTTTTTAAGCTGTCCTTTATTCCTCATCTAATATAAAATGGAAAAACAAAACACTAAAGGGAAGGATGAAGTTACAGAGAAAAAAATGCCCATCAAATGAAGGGAAGGTAGCAAATACAAAGCAAAACTATACAGTACTGGTTCTGCCTGCCTTTATAAAGGTGGGTTCCCTCCCTCCCTCCCTCCCTCCCTCCCTCCCTCTCTCCTCCCAGTCAGGATTTTCCCAAGTAGACTAAATGCTTTCCAACAGTCAGTAAAGCCACTTGACTGGCTGAATTAAAACTAACAGCCATTCTGACACTCAACCCCAAAAATAAGTAGTCAGCTCGCACATTTTTCCTTTTCTACAAAAAAAAATTCTAACAACAATCATCCTAATTTATGGCTTTTGTCAGTTTGTCGATTGGGTTGGGGGGGGTGGATATTAACACCATTCCCACCCACACCAGCTTACCCAAACTCTCTGCTCCCCCCCCCCCCCCCCACCCTCCCTCCAAGCACAGCCCAGCTGAGCAGATGAAGGGGAGCTCTGATATTCACCGTACACCCCCAACAAATCTCTGCAAGATGCGACTTTCCCTTCCCACCCTTCACTGCCTCCGATAGCCTGAATTTTGCAAACGGTGTTTTTTTTTTTTAAAATTTATTTAGGGAGCAGAAGTTCCAATGAAGCAACGTGTTCACCACAGCGAGGTTCTGAACTTGAAGTTCAGTTTCAGCAGGTACTTCAGGTTCACCTGGGCCACATCGTAGACAATGTACCTGAAAGGTCATGGGTCAAGGAGACAAACTGTCAGTGAAACACTCGTGCCTCCCATCCCCTCACTTGTGGCCTGTTCTTTACCAGTGAGCCATTTGAAGTCTTGGGTCATCCAGTGCAGGCTGCACCCCAGCTCCCTCGCCACCACCAAACTGGGAGAGTGTGGCAATCATCCAGAATATTAGGTTCATGTCCTAGAAACATGGGTTCAAATGCTACCAGAGCAGGTAGGGAAAAATCGGAATCCAACTGAGGCAAAGAGCTAGCCTCAAGGCTATCTTGAAACCATCGTCGACTGTCATCACCTGGTTCACCAATGCCCTTTAGGGAAGGAAATCTGCCATCCTTACCTGGTCTGACCTATATGTAACTCCAGACCCACAGCCAACATGGTTGACTCTCAACTGCCCTCTGGCAAGTGAAAAACACACCTTTCCACTCGGTTATCAGGGTGGGGGGGGTTCTGTTTCTCACTTGTATTTTTTTTCCAGAGGGAGGGTGCAAGGCCTTGACTTTATGACAGCAGAGAGAGGGGTTCCCCACTGCCTTGGCCAAGCGGTGAGTGCTCTGACGGGTGCTCTTTCAAAGCACTGGCACCAAATGGCCTCCTTCTGCACTGCATTATTACAGGAAAGGCCCTTCCATTAACAGTTGGGATGGAAAAAAGTGTGCATGTTTGTGAGAGACAGAGCAAAAGAGAATATGCGAGATTGAGAGGGAGAGAGAATGGGTATGACTGAATGCATGAGATTGAGACAGACAGAAAGAGAAAATGTGTGAGATTGAGAAAGAATTAAGAGTGTGCGGTGTGTACAGGACGAATCACCTCCCCCATTTAGTTTCTGTTGATTTTCCTGTCGTCCTCCAGCACAGCTGGTAGCAGCAGCTTCCATCGAGAATACTATCAAGTCAGAGCCCACTTCTCCCAAACTCACGTCCATTCCAGATATTTTTTAATCAACTTGTTCAGACCTTTTGAGCATGTGGGACGTGAACCCGAGCCTCCTGGCTCAGAGGTAGGGACACTACCAACGCGCCACAGGAGGCCCTAACAATAGGGCAGCCCTCCTTCATGACAGGAATCTCAGCCTGGATTTTAGTGCTTACATCCTGGAGTGGGACTTGAACCCAGAACCTTCTGACTCAGAAGCACTACTGAGCCAAAATTAACAGCTCAAGGGCTCGTCTTTGATATGACACAAGAGATCAAAGCTCAGCAGCACGTTTAAAATAAAAACACATCAACTTCGGGCCTTGACAACAAAATGCCATGGATATTAAATACCTGAAACAAAAACAAAGTGCTGGCAATGCTCAGAAAGGTTTGACAGTATGTGTGGAGAGGAGAGGAGTCAGGTGTATGGAATCCAATATGGTGGCGGAGGTAGTGCAGGAGGGCAAGAGGGATTAATAACAAAAATGTCATGGAACCCCCCCCAACGCAAAAGGATCAGTGCAGCAAAGAGACAAAGCATCGCTCCAGACAGAGTGTTAATGCCAAAATAATGAAAAACTGTCTAAATAACAAAAGTATTGCAGTCATTGGAGAAACAGAAGAACAAAAATTTAAGATGCTGAGACTGTTCTCTTTGGACAGAAGAAGTCAGAGAAGGGATCTGATTTCAAAATCATGAGCAAGCTGGACAGAGCAGATAGGGAGAAACTGTAACCGCTCAGAAAAATAAGAATAAAAAGGCATAGATTTAAAGTGACATTTAACTGAAGCAAGCACGATGAGATTCAACTCAGGCATTCCAGAGGGTGTTGGATGGTTATTTAGGTGGTAATGGTGTGCAGGGAAATGGGGAAAAAGGCAGGAGATTGGCATTGTGGGATAGAACCAATGCAGACATGATGGATCGAAAGGCCACCATCCATTATAAAAATTCTGGATTCAATAGCTTCACACCAGGAGCCCCGTCCTCTTTTTCAATTTGTATTGTTTTTTTTGGCCAAGGAACCTTTTTCTACCAACACCAACAACGATATATTAAAAAAAAATCACATTTCCAATTCCCTTTAGTTCTGAAGGAGGTGGGGACGGGAAACGTTAACTCTTTTCCTCTCTCCGCAGATGCTGTGAGACCTACTGAGCTTTTCCCTGCTCCACAGAGAAGGATACTCATTGTACAGGAGACTAGAATCTGAGACTTGTGTTTGGACACCTCTTCCCAACGGGATGTCCACTCCATTCATCTTGACTGTGGCACTAGGATCCGGAGCGGTCTTCCCGATGCCTGTGGGGAGACAGTGGGTACAGGCTTGTTTGCTCAGAGATAATGTCATACCCCGTGAGCAGTGCATCACTCTTCGCAAAGATCCCACTCTCCCCCCTGCAACTCACCACCTCCACCCACACAGGGTAGTGAGGCCAGCCCCTCGCAAACTGCATCCCCTTCCCCGAGCTGCCACCATCACTTTAACTCGGGGAGCGGGGCTCAGGACCAGAATCTCCTGGCTCTGCCCGGTCTCTCCATCAAAAACACAGATCATGTACCCCCTGGACTTAGAAAGGCAGGCTGGATCAATTTCAGACTGCATTCACTGGGGTTTAAAAGAATGGGGCGGGGCAGGGCTCATTGAAACTGACCTTTTCTAACAGGACTGGTAATGATGCTCCTGATGAAGGGGGGAGCACGGTCACAGTCTAAGATCCGATGAGGAGTCATCTAGACTCCAAACATTAGCTTGCTCTCTCTCTCCACGGATGCTGCCTGACCTGCTGTGATTTCTAGCACTTTTTGATTTCACTACAGATTCCAGCATCTGCAGTAATTTGGTCCTTCCCAGTCTAAGTGTATGGAGTAGGCCATTTAGGGCTGAGATGAGGAGAAATTTCTTCACCCAGAACGCGGTGAGTCTGTGAAATTCACGACCACAGAAAGCAGTTGAGGCCAAACATTGAATTTTTTCAAGAAGGAATTAGATATAGTTCTTACAGCCAAAAGGTTCAAAGAGTACGGGGAGAAAGGAGGAGTAGGGGAGCGAATTGGATGATCAGCCATGATCATATTGAATGGCAGAGCAGGCACAAAGGGGCCGAACGGCCTACTCACACTCCTGTTTTCTAGCCAACAGGAGATCAGAGAACAAGTTCGTCACGGCCTCCCTCAACAGGAGGCATCTCAAGCTGCGCAGGTCTGTTACACAAATACGTGAAAGGGGAGAGAGGGCGAGAGACACTGCTCCCTAACCTCTGCATTCCTCCCGGGGAGGATAGAGTAAAGGAGAGGATGATTCAACAGCCTGGAAAACTGCCTTGTGAGCCATCCTGCCCAGTCCACAGCCAGCCCAGGCCTGTCTCCTGTGAGGGGTCTACAGGACGATAATGGATGGGGTCACCCACATCGATTAGAAACAAACCCCACCCCGAGCTTACCTTTCACACTGTGTTTGCCTTTTGGTAGTTTGGTAATATGATTAGCTCGTTTCAACTCATGCCTGAAAACACAATATTTAACAGTAAATCAACATGTGATCAACACTGGATGCCAAAATGATCAATGGAAGGGTTAAATATTCATCACCATTGTGGGCTACCAGCTCCATTTCCAGACTGGAACTCCACGCTGGGGCTACCATTCCCACAGGGGAGCTCCACGCTGGGGCTAC